AAATTCTATTACATCTTCCAACTTGTTAAGTTTGTAGTCGAGTTGTCTGTAAAATGAAGCCGGTACTGTATAGCCAGACACGTAATTTCTTTCTTCCAGGTTATGGTCAACAAAGGCTCGAAAAGAACCGTCGTTGCCTTTTTCACATTTTACGTACACTGCCGATTTCATTCCCTCCAGTCTTATCCAATGAAAAATATCGCTCCCCAATGATTTACTTAGCGCCTCTCTACATGAAGAAAATATTTCTGCAAAAAAAGAAAGCAATATGCTATTTTCTTTCAATTCTAAATGGTACTTAGATTCTCATTTGACAGTCCCATTAATGGTAATCAAATCGTAATAAGAACTTTGCATGTAAAATTTTATTTGAAGTGTCTTGAAAGTTTCTAAAAGGTGCCTTTTGAAGTGGCAAATGAACTGAAAATTTTAAAGAAGCAAAAAGCCATTGTGTGATTGAAAATGAAACAGAGCTAGTTTGTTCTGGAAAATTTCCCAGCACTCGAAGACCATATCATATATAAAGACCATGAAACTGTAAAAGATCAGTGGCAACTTAAAATTCAGCTTTGATTTTGTAGAATGGATAGAACTATTTTCTGCTTGTTTGCAAGAAGCAGATTTATATCAACTTTAGTTCAATGTTACATCAAAAATAAAGGTTACCATCTTAAATTCAACCTAGAGAGGAGAGCAAGGTTTCTGATAATTTTTATCTGAATTTCCAAATTTACTTTAATATTGTAACATTCGTCAGGACCGCTTTGATTATTCACGATTTGATTATAACACTGTTTTGATTTCCGAGAAGTATTCAAAGTTTAAAAAATCGTTTACTCTCCAATCTCTTACATGGCTTTCACTTGCTATTGTTTTTCTTGTTAAAACCAAGATAACATGAAAAGTTCGCAGAGGAAGGTTTTTCCCAGTCATAAAACAGTTTTAAAAGTTGCACGTATGGAAAATATTTCATGGATTTTGGTATATTTTTTCCTCGCTATCGTTTAGCTTCTCGTAGCTATTGATAGTATCGAAGTTAAGGGAAATTGCATTAAAAGGCTTGACATTTTCTGATTTTGTATAGCCCATTGCTATACCATTATTATAAACAATTATTACTATTATACTAATACCAAAAACGCTCAAACTTCTTGGTTTTATTTCTCATTAATATTGAAGCATCAAAGACATGATGGTCTCATAAAACACTTCAGAATTATGTGAACTGTTTGTAGGAAAATTTTACCTGGGCCGTAACATTGACATTCGTATCCTTCACAGGTGTCCACACAGGTGCAATGGCTTGGACAGGGATTGCTCAAGAAGCTTGTACATCGTGATCCAATCTAAAAATGCGATCAAATGAAGATAAAGAGAAATGCACTATTTTTAGTACAATTATATGATATTTTTTTCAATTTTAATTCATTTCAAGCAAATTTGAACTCACAAAAATGTTTCAATGAAGTTTACCGTGCGCGATATTTCCTTGCTGCCTGTGTCATAGAAATTCCAACCTTTCTTCGCTATCATCTTTCTTGGTTTTGACATGTGATCATCTTTAAGCAAATGGCAGTCGACCTTACTGTCATTGCGTTTATGTGTGTTCATTGCCACACATTTTTCAACGCTGACGCACAAGTCGATACATTCTACCAAATCACTGGTGACGTTTTTTGCAATTGGTTCTTCATCGAGTATGTGGTCGTTTGCAATGCGGTAAAAAGTTGCCTCGCTACCGCATGTACCTTTGAAGACTCTGCGACATCTCGCTAGAACCAATAGCGAAAGAGTGACTAAAATGAGAAAGCTGTATTCTTCACGCATAATGGAAATTGGCCTTGCACCAAATTCCAGGCAGAGAGTATGATACTGAGCTTTAAAGGAGGATCTTGTGTAGTTATACAACGGCTAAAAACCAAAAAAAGACAGCCACCTTGAATGTCTCATTATTCAGTGAAAACCACTTGCATCAATTGAATTGTATTGCAAACCGACATATATTGTATCAATTAAAATGGAATGAATTCCTTATAAGAATAAAGTTCTGTGAACTTTCAGCTTAAACTGGTAACATGAATAACATTTAAGTATCTTGGCAACTTCTAAACAAAACACATTTCAGGGCGATTGACCTGCTAGCGTGAACGAAAAGGTTATGTATGAAGAACCAATTCGACCAAAATTTGCAATAGTAGTTTATCTTGTTCTGCTGTTGACTCATGACAGAATTTGACAGAATTTCAGTATCAATTTGTTCCCTTTACACACAAAGATTACAAAAAACCTGAAGATACTGACGTGGAAAATGTGGAAAAATAGCATACCGATGTACTTTTTGTCCGATACTTCAAAGAATAAAAACATCGGATACTGACCAAAAGTAAGATAAAATTCAGATGTTGATCAAGATTAGGGCGAGATGAAGGGTGTCTCTTTTGATTGGTTCATTGTTTTCTGTGAATCAGCGAACCCTAACTTCTCACCTAGCTAAAGAGTCGAAATTAAGAGAGGAAAGGGACTCTTTTGGCAAAAAAGTCAGGGTCTATTGTTCTGAAAAAGTATGAGTATGACGAAAATCAGTTTAGTATGATATGTTTTCGCATTCTGTGCATTGTTACGGTACCAAAGGCTTTTTCATTACAATGATCGATTTTGATTTATTAAAATTTTCACTTTGGTTGTAAAATTTAATTCACCTCTCATTCCGAAGAGCAATGTTATTACAGGCATGATTAAAAATAGCTAAGTCGTGAAAAATCAACATCTTATCATTTAAACTTGGTCTTTCAAATTTGATCAAAGAAGGCATTTACTCTCGTTCGTTTCATTTACTCTGATGAAGCCCTATATGCCGGGGTGAAATATTAGTGTTACCTAAATTTAATTTATTTTCAAAATTTCATCTCGTTACATTGGATTCTCGTCATCGTATTGCTTTGTTCCTGAATAACTTTCGTATTATTACTCATTGCAAGATTCACAGAATCCGGCGGAGAGCCAATCATGCGGTTCTTCCTTCTCACACACAAAAGGCATTGTTTCGATCATAAGCCCTACAGCTCCAAGATTTTTGTCGAAGAACAAATTTATGTTTAAAAATGCCATAAGAAGCTGACGGAATGCAGGTTCTTTTATTTTGAAGTAATAAAGAGCTAACCCATACGATTTGAATATGCTTAGGTGGACGTAAAGAGCATTCATAAATTATTGTATATAAGAAAGGATTCATGTGGGTGAATAGAGAGAGAATGTCCATTTAAGTCTAATAAAGAAACAGTCATCAGGCAACAAGGTGTTTGTATTCAGGTAAAAGAAGCGTGGATTTTGAAGGATATGAGAATGGATGCTCCTTGCCATGATGCATAGATGCTTGTCATGATTGTTCGAGTTCTTGGTTTAGGTATTCTAGAAAACCTATTATCAGGAAAGGGCTTTGCAAAACATACTCGATCATTCATCATTCATAAGCTTCATATGCTCAAAAGTATCGAGTTGTTATCGCCTTAATGCTTTTCGGCAATAGCAATTGCTTGTACAGTGGTGCATTCTGTCTTCATAGCCTTGACATTGTATAAAATATTTGATACATTCTGCTTCAATTTAGAACCATCCTAGACTATGTTCACATTGCTCCGTTTTCGTTTTTTATCCGTTTTCATATCGATCCGTTTTGCCTGTTCTTCACACTGCTCCGGATACATTTGAAAACGGTATGAAAACGATGACGCGTCCACATTGCTCCGCTCTGGATAAAAAGGAAAACACCACGAGCTAGTTTACAGCACTCCGCGACTGCTAAAAAACTTTTTAAACAACTCATTGCCACTAATATTCCTCCGAGTAGTGTACTAACTTCGAGTGAATCAGCCATGTTAAGAGAAATTGTTCAAATTGGCGCGGTCTAAGCATTTGCTGTATTGTTGTTGTTGTTAACGTTTTCAAAAGTAACCGTTTTCGGTGTTCACACTGCGTATTGCGTTTTCGAAAGTCTCCGTATTTAAAAGTATCCGCTCTCGGTGTTCACACTACGTATTGCGTTTTCGAAAGTCTCAGTTTTTAAGGTGCAGCAGTATGAACGCAAGGCACAAACGGATACTTTTTTATCCGTTTTCATTTGATAAATATGCTCTCTCGACGCCTCTTTTAGTGGCCTAAAGGAGTGGGCGGGTCAAGGCTTGCAACGAGAACTGGCTTTGAAAGGAATGCTAAGCAAGGTTATATTATGGCTGTAATAACAAATACCGTACTTCCTCTAAAGAACGCCGCGGTGTTTAATACAAACTTCAGATTTTCGATGCGGCGTTTAATAGAGGGCGTTGTTTGTCAGAGGGCGGCGTTCATTAAAGGAAATACAGTAGCCTAAGATCAGGCTCGGGCGGGGCTTGGACGGAGACTCAGTGGAAAAAATTGAAAAATTAGAAAAAGAAAAGAAAAAGATTGAACACTTGTTCAACTTCGTGCAAACATTATTTCGTTATAGTTAAGGATTTTGAATGCTGTCTGATAGAGGGTAAGAGTAGCTAAATATCATGGTGGCAAAAAGTTCGGATAGATGTCATCCTTGCCGTATTCGGAGATGTAATGTTCACAGTATTACTTCAATAATCCTAATCAGTGATCATTGTGATCTATTTTGATATACAAGATAAAACTCAATTTAGTCCAGGTAATATTCAATTCAATTCAGGTAGATTTAGGTAAATGTCAGCTGATCTTACTATCCTTGCGTTCATGTGTGTTCATTGCGACACACTTTGATGCATAAACCAAGACATTCCATGAGATCGGTCGCAACGTTATTTGCAATCGGTTCTTCATTGAGTATGGTCGCTGGCAATGCGGTAAAACGATACTGAAGTGTCGCAGTTTGTCTACAAATTTTTTTCGCGCGGCAAAACTCAAAAATGATTTTAGCAGAATAAAGGCTTGTAAACAAATCATATTTGTATCGTTTTCTCTTCTAACAACATAGCTGTTGCCAATGTACGCTTGATTCGTACTTCCTTTTTAGAGTTTCACTCGTACAATGCCTATCTAGAGGTCAATACTGTCATGAAATAACCCAAGAGTCATTTTGGTGAGTCTATTCAAACTTTTCGTTGCTAGAAGTTTCGCTCTTCGAGAAAAGCTTTCCAAATAAGAGCAAAATGATTTTGATGGGAGAGGAAACGGCCTCCCCAGTCTTCCCTGTGGCACCACCTCTGAAAGGAATTAGGAACAAGGCCTTTATAGAACAATAATTTAGATGAATGATATGACTGCTAATACAAGAGGCAGAATTGACTACGAAAATGTTCTGATTAATCAATTTCCCTACGTCATACGAAACTTTGTCTGTTGAAAGATAATTAACTTATGAATTTTTAACAAAAAGTTTTTAACCGGACGTTGGAATAAGCCTTGCTGAAGACTGCTTCAAGACAGTACCTTGATTACAAGTTTTGCTATTTCATGTCGCCTAAAAAACGAAAATTACAGAGGGTTTGCTTAGATTATTTATTTTGGAAAATGAAATGCGAAAAGGTATTGACATTGCTATCAAAGACATTGGATATCGCAAATGAAAAATGTGATTGTTTGGTATATTGTGGATCGTATTTGATTGAAATCCTTTCCAGCTGATTCTGCAAGTATTTGTTTACGGTTTTATTTGAAGAACGACGAAAATCATCAAACTAAACTTTTTTTACTAATATGTTTATTCTACTCATCTATTGCTCAATCGGTGAAAACCAACATAGGAAGCCATGGACATAGAAAGCACTTGATGAGGGAGGGGTAAACAATTAGAAGACACATGAACCACGCCCTATCCGAAACTATTAGTAACCTCATTACAGTAGTCTTTCTATTGAGTAGCTCCTATTCAAAATATATGATAGAAATGTTTTTCGACTACAAAACCCGCAATCACCTATAATTACTCTTAGCTTTGTAAAAAAGAAAGCTGATTTTCAAGATACTACAGTGAAAAAATTTGGAGTCAAAGGATTCTCTTACATGGGTGTCTCAAAAGTAGGAGATCATTTTAGTATATGTGCCTTTAGGTTCTTACGTCCTTGTTGGTTGGGCAAGACGAACGAAAATGGAGAGTATGGATATGATAAGGAAATGATTGAAGAAAAAAGCATTTTGATACTCCATAGATTCGATGCAATCCAAAAACAGAACGCTCAATGTTAAAGAATACATTCAATTACCTGTTAGAATAGCTAGAGTGCTTTAACTCTTCACTATCATTATCTCTTCATCCACCTCAATCATATCTCCAAAGTGCCGAAAATGAAAGAATTTTATGAAAAGGATCTCTTTGTATGAAAATATGACTTAAGAATTGTAATATATCTGAATATCAAATTATATCAAATTATATCAAAGGTTTATATCAAAAATCTGAAGAAAAAATCGAATTTCCGGTCACCCAACATATTATCGTTTAATTCACTGTTCAATAAAATGAGCAAATTTTGAGAAATAAATAGAGTTTATATACAATATTTTTACATTTCTACTTATTCAACGATGAATGAAAATAAACTAAATGTCTAACAAACTAAATGTCGAACCTGCTTGGTTTCAAATAGAAATTTTAGCATGCCGTGAAAGCTCAGTTTTTGAGAATCTAAGCGATTTGCGGCTCATTCGCTTAGAAAGATGGAGTCAAATTTTGGGCATGTTAGAAATGCGTTTGCTTGGTCGTGAGCCCAGAGTGAAAAGTGGGAATAAGTCTTTAAGAACTTCTAAACTATCTTAGGCCCACTTTACACAATGATAGTTAACGCGGGTTGAGCGAACCCAGATAAATGTATTTGCGCTGCAATCACAATCTACCTGATTTAACTCGGGTTGAACAAGGAGTGAATTTCTCAAAGTTTAGTAAAGTTAACATGTATACACTTGAACTTATATATTCAGGGTTAAATCTAAGTGTGTTTCTTTGTTTTGCTTTTTGTCAGAACGGCGATTTTCCTTTGCTCAACTGTACGCATTTGTCTTTTTAAAAGCCATTCAAGTTCTATCCACTTTATGCTGTTCATTTTATTGTGGAGTACAACCATTGCTGGGTTTCACTGAGAATCCATAACCCGGGCTGGACCTATGTAGATTTTTTGTACTGTAAACATGGCTTTACATAAACTTTACCAACTAATAATCAATCTCCGAACTAAATTTTTCTTATTTTAGCAACAGCAACGAAATATTTTCTAAATAGATATATGTAGCATGTCTAAATAGCATGTCTTTGTAGTAAATGAATATATTCTATTAGGTTTAAACCTCCCAACAGTTTTCACTAGAGTACATATTTCTGTTGGTACTTATTTTTTCAATACCAGCTAGAAGTCAATGATAAAATGTTCATCAATTTAGAGAGAAAATCCAACTTACACCGATGATGAACATCAAGATTGGTTAATTTTAGCTAGGTTAATTTCGACGTAATGCTAAAGAGAATTGCTGAAATGATGAACCCTTGTTGTCTTCCTGCAAGTCAGGATGTTGCTGAATCCTAATCTAAAGTCCTTAACGCGGAAAGCATATATCACAGGGTTTACACTCGAGGAGAGAAAACAGAGGACTACGCTGGTTTGCGTCAAATTTCCGTTCCAAGGCACGCCCCTTTCGAGGTTGAGCATGAAGTAGAGCACCTGATTCAACGACCAACAAGCAAAGAAGGAAATTATCATAATAAGGACAGTTCGAACGCTCTTTCTTCTAGTTGAGATTGTGTATAACAGTGCGGACCTTCCACTGTCTGTTGTACTTGTTAAAGCTCTAAGCTTCCCTTCTGCCAGGGCCGTATTTATTCGCAAAATAAAATACACCATACAAGAAATTGGTGCAACGTACTGTATCAGGAAAACGAACACATAAAAAGCTTTCCATAGAACATAATATTGCTCTAGGTTGATTGTAGTGCAGTGTGCACCAAGACTGCCTTTCCCAGTGTCTGTAGACTGAAGGCCACCAAATAGGGCGTAGTTTGGAGCAAAGGACAACACCCATATCAGACAGATGGTGACAATCGCCCGTCTTTTTGTCGACCTCGTCCGTGCTTTAAATGGATGGCAAATAGCGAGGTATCTCTCGTACAAGATAGCAACAAGAGTGAATATAGAAACAACAGCAAAATAGAAAAGTACAAAATATCCGGTCCACAACTTGCATAAAATATCACCACCTAAACCTGACGGATGGTCTTGAAATGAAGAGGTTGACATCACGTACACTGGTATACACAACGAGGTAACCAGAATATCAGCAATAGCCAAGGAGCCAATGTATATCCCAAAGACAGATTGTCTCAATGCTTTGGTCTTTACAAGAACACTTATCACCAAGCTATTTCCAAACACTCCACTGAATGCTATTATCGAGTAACAGACAAGCTGCCATATCCTTGATGGAAAATCACTCTGCGATCCCATGCTGGATTTTGCTTCCATTTTCATTACATGCGCTGCTCATCTAACAAGGAAATACTAAGACTGGCATTGTCTTTAAGGTGGTTATTTGTCGTTTACCATATAGGTGCATCTTTTATCTCCGGTGACTCTAATAATTAATAAGCAACCAGCTGCTTAAATAGACCTGTTCTGCCTTGTGACAGCGCAATCATTGGCTGATTGACTTTGCACTCAATATGCAAAAACCGAAGATCCATGAAATCTTGAATATTAAAAACAAATATTTGCACCGATTCCAAGTCGTTTTGGTAAAATCATCGACGTAACTAGGCATAAAATTTAATGATATCGCCCACAATGTACAAATTACTCGCACTCAACTGATTTCTAAATCAACCCATTTTCCACTGCCTTAGTCTTGTCATTTGAGAAAACGTTTCTGGCAGATAAAGAAGCCCTGGATAAGGATGCATTTGAATGCACAAATGATGAAACTAAAACTTCAACATTGATTCGGGAAGAGATGGGGATTGGAATTTACAGGGGCAATGTAAAGAAGAAAATTTCAAAAATGCATTTTGTCTGGGATTGTAGGGAGACATTGCTAGTTCCTGTAATTATTTTAATTATTTGTCCATGAATATGGAGATATTACAAAGCAATTTAGAATTGATAAACAATCTTATCTAAGAAAATATAGATTTCTGACCTACGTTGGAAATATATAATGATCAATATTCACACTCTCCTTCAAAGCATATCTCTTTTCTTCATTTGAATGAGTTGAGCGCCTAGCTGGGTCACTGCTTTTTTAGAAGTATAGCTAGCATGATTGTCCATGACTATTCTGAAAAGAGCTCTTTCTCTGATTTTGGTATCTGGAGATCACCCATATCAATTTCACTGAAAAAATCTTATCAGTTGCAACTGTTTTTTTTACGAAATCTAAAAATGTTCTTGCATTAAATTGGCATTGCTTTTTTGACTTAGTTATGGTTTCGGACTTGGAAGCTTATCTCAGTCTGGAAGAGATTTGTTATGCTAGGTGCACACAAGAGAGGTTTTCTACCCGATCAAAGTAACATTCGTGCATTTTGCTTTAATAAAGATCCTACGAGAGCGGTTGTTAACCCGTAAGAAATTTTGTTATCCAAGAAAATCCACTTAACTCTTCCTGAAAACCTGAGGAATTATGGTATCAGAGCTTTAACTCTGAACTGGTTTAAATCATTTCTCTTTAACAGAACCCAGGCTCTTGAAATTTCAAGGCATTTGTTTGACACACGTAAAATATCTTATGATGTTCCACAAGGAAGTGTACTGGGAACACTTCTCTTTCTACTCTCCTTCTCTATTTGATTTGCATATGGTACAAGCCTACGCTGCAGCACAGGCTACCTGAAGCCTGCCCTGGACAATCAATCATAATCAAGCATTAGCTATAAATAGCGAAATATTGCCGCAAAAGTTGTAATTAACATCTTGGTGCTATTTGTACTCTAGTATTAAGGCATCAGTACTCTCTTAAAAAGCTGGTCATCTTGTTGCTAAAGATGCACTAAGGAATCGTTATAGTTAAGCCCCTATATCCTATTTGCCGCATGAAAATGGTATAGCTCTTGTCAAAGCATTTTTGAAAAAACCAAAAAGGTAACTGCAAAGCACAAATTATAACCTTTGCAAATGAAGAAAAACAAACAACAAAATTTTGTTTACAGATCTAAACCTTATAGATTTTGAAACTTTCTTTAACATTGAAATTCGAAGGTTTACAAGTGACGAAATTCAAACTGAACACGCGTATCTCCCAAAACGTCTTCTCTTCACAACAACAAAACCAGACCAGCAGCAAATGAATTTTTTACTCTCCTATCAATATCATCTGAATAAAAAATAAAATCAACAATGTTTCAAGGCTCAGTAATCTAGAATAGTTTTCTCCTCGACTTGAAAAAACATTCGATAAAAAATACTTTATCGACATTTACCACTAGCCAATACCCTGCTCGCTAGTTCTTTGTCCTAACCAATCCTGTTATTTGAAGTTACTCTTTTCCTTAAAGTTAGTACAGTTGAATCCTGTTACGTTGGACTTTCAAGATGGAAGGGCGGAGGGGCTGCAGGGGTTACTTAAGCCCCCCAAAAATTTCCAGAATGTACTTGAAACCATAGAAACAATCGCTTTGCTCTTGGTTCTTGGCATGTTTAACGCCCCCCCCCTCCGAGAAAACGTTTTAGCCCCCGCAATATGTAATCTGCTCCGCGGTCCCTGTGACAGCTGTATCATATTGCAATTTGCAAATGTAATATTTGGTTATCAAACCTGCAAAACATTTTCGTTTAAGTAATTGAAGAGAACATCAATTTCATCTAATGCTTGTACGTAATTAAATGCTGTAAATGAAATTGATTTTGAATTGTAATTTTAATTTTACTTGCTGCGGAATGCCCGACCGACAGATTCCCTGACAAAATGCAGATGGCTCCTTTGTTATAAGACACAAAGACGGAAGTAAAACCAAAAGTTTGTCGAATGCGTCAGTTTGTTGGCACTGGTCTGTTTTTAGAGAATACTTTTTGAAGATTCCAAGGAGGTAGGAGTTATAAGATAGGAACTGCTTTTACTTGGACAGAGTCAGAGAGCTTCTAGCAACAACAAGGGACTTAGCGAAAATGGGCCTAGACGCGGACCTTGGTACTCAGGCCAGCTTTCCACTTAGAGGTTGGGAAGTTGCGTTATACACCATCATAACTATCGTTGGTATAACGGGAAACTCCATGGTGATAATCGTTTTGAAACGGAATAAAGATATGAGAAACTGTGCATTTGGAATATACTTGGGATCACTGGCATTTGTTGATGTATTGGTGTGCATTTTGTGTCTGCCTGTGTACATAACATCCACTGATGTCTTCAAGAATCATCCTACTGGTAAGGCTGGGGACATTGTTTGCAAAACATGGACAAACTATTTTATTTTGTTCTACTTTGCTGTGATTTCTGTCTACACACTTGTTGCCATTTCATACGAAAGATATCTAGCCATTTGCCATCCCGTTAAATCAAGAGTTCTTTCATCGACAGCACGAGCGAAAAAAATTGTTATCGCAATCTGGATTTTTGCTATAGTCCCAAACATCGCACTGATTGCTGGGATGAAATGGGCAGAGCCAGGCAAGGCTAGTTTCGGGGCACATTGTACAGCCGTGGAATTCAACGACACTGGCATTTGGATTATGTTTTATGTCATAATTTTGGTCATGCAATACCTCATACCCATCACATGCATGGTTGTTTGTTTTGCCAAAATCAGAAAAGCCCTTAACGAGTACAAAAAGAAGGCCATCTCATGCAATGCACCTCACGTGAGGGCTGGTGAATTGTCAGTGCTTCGTACACGAGGAAAGACAATCCGAACTGTCATCATCATGATTTCAGCATACTTCCTGTGCTGGTCTCTGAACCAAGTCCTCTATTTCCTGTTGAATATCGGCTATGGCATCGTTTGGAATGGTGATCTTATGCAGGTCAGCGTCGTCATGTGTTTTTTGTCCTCATGCATCAACCCGATAATCTACGCACGCAGGAGCACTCAGTTCAGGCAAGAGTTTTCCGCTCTCCTTGTCTGTTGCTTTGGCAAAAAGAGAAAAAGAGAGGTATACGCTGTTGCTTGCTAAAAGTTATTTATTTTATATTTGTTTTCGTTGTTTTTTAGTGTACCAACATATTTTTTTCATCGTGTCTTGTTATTTAACGAAGCATTTTCATGTCTGAATATCCGGAATGTTTAGCCTCTATTTCTTATTTTCCTCATTTTACTACAGAAGTCGATCTGCCCCTTTTCTCTTTTCTCTCTTTCAAATTCAATAATTCACTAAACATTATCACTATACAATTTTAACAAAAAGAAGCCATTTAAAACCACACCACACTGTTTAACCAGTATTACTGTAATAATGCCTGAAGAAGATTATTAGGCAAGCAAAAGAAATTATGTCATCCGTTCGTTTGTACATCTTGCGTTTCTTCCTTCTATCAAGTTTGTAGTTACTCGGCCCTGGTAACAAGATGTTCTTGGAGCTAAAGACACTTTGATTTTTTAAAATAACATCATATGGCACAGGGCCGTCGTAAACGAGGGGGTTGGGGGCTGTATTATATTACCTTTAAAACACTGAATTGAATGGAAGGCAATACAATAGGCAGCCCCCCCAAACATGAATTTCGTTCTGACGACAGCGTTATAGCGACATTGTTGCATCTTTTTTGTTGGCGTTGAGGTAGGGGTTTGTTGCTCGTGGGAGGGGGAGGTTTGTTGGCAACTTTCCTTATTTTTGACGAATTCGGTATAAAGAATCAACGTTGGTGCTAATTTTTTCAATTATTCCTACAAAAGGAAAAAGGTTCGCAAATCAGCAATACCAAGCATGTTTTTGGAAATAACCTCTCGGTGATAGTAAAAGAGGTGTCCCGAATTTTCTTTAGGGTGTTTGCTCCATCTCCCTCAACGTAATTTTCTCTGACCACGGTTATGATAAGATTGCTGTCTAGACTTATATCGTAGATGCATAGTTAAATCCTGCAGCAACAAGGTACTATTTTTTAAAACATCCGCCCTAACAGTAATATGGCCCGGGCACCAATGACCTAGCTTTCCATGGCTTAACTATTTATATTCTCTTACAACTCAGTTTTGAACCCCTACTCTTTGAAATCTGCAACAGGCATTCTATTTAATGCACTGGCTTTTATCTGTGCTATTATTGCTTGCAAACAAGAAATTTCCTTAAGAAACAAAGGTAAAGATATGTTTAAGTAAATTTAGAGGATGTTTTTCATTTCGAAGAAAACGAAATCATTTATAAGTTTGGAAATATGTACTGTTTTAAGACAACACTCTGCGCCCTATAAATGAGAATTTGAGAAAGGTCACTAAAAAGTGTATGCAATGTTTAAAGGGCACGCCTTTGCTGTATTGAAAAAATTGGTTTATATGATTAAGAGAGAAAAGGTCTTTTACTTCCCTACCACTTTCAAATACTTTCATATCATTTCCAGATGCATCCAGGGCCGGATTAATCCAATGGACAAACTAGGCCATGGCCTAGGGCCCTGCGGTTTTGGCTCCCCGCGCTAGCAAAGTAAATTTTTATCTTTAATGATAGAATTACTGGAATAGGACGCAGAAGCGGCATCGTGGCTTGTTTTTTTTTCAAAAAACCTGTTTATCAATGTTTTTTTAAAAAAACCTGCAATGTGTGCAAAAATTTAATTGTTTCAAACATTTTTCTTTCTACTATTGGCCAAAAAAAGCTGTGTGACTTGTGTCTCTTGATGATACAACCAGACTTGAGCAACAGAGTCGCTAAATGATGACATCATTAAAATATTTATTTTTAAGTTTTCAATTTTTAAGGCATGATCAGAAAGGACACGATAAAATGTCTCTAATTGTGCAAATCTGTTGCAAATCTGTTGCCATTTGAAGTTTGCTAATGGATTTCTGATAATCAGGCTGTGTTCACACATTTTAAAGCTGACTCATAACCCTTATTTATAGAACTTCCACAACTGCCATTTAAGGAATGTGCAAAATGTACAATGTATGGCATAAACAAAAGCAACTATAGACCGATATTTTGTTACTTTTGTAAAAAAGACAAATATTGCCAAAAGCAACAACTTTGCCTCTATCAACTACGGGAAAAATTTATTTTCTTTAAAGCGTAAAGATTTGGAAGAACATTGCAAATTAGAAAGAATCCTTCTACAAAAGCTGCAAATGATGGCTCTTGAAAAGCTATGGAACGTATAGCTCTCCAAATTACCTACACAAAACCCTTTTTCTGTCTTACTTTACAATAAAAACAATAGATATCTTGTTGCTTTATCCTTTTTTCTCATTTGCTTTATTTTTATTTTTGCTGTATTTGCTTTGCATCTCTCATTTTTGTTGTCAAAAGAATGCTACAGAACGTCCAGGCAGGGACGAAAACAAGTTGCTAATTTTGGGGGGGCGTGGAAGTATGAAAATTCCAACTTCAAGTGATAAATTTTTCATTCGACCAGTAGATCTGTTGTACCTACCAAATTGATATTTGTAAATAGCCCGAGCACCATAGTTCTATTTTCTTTATAATTACCAAATCTTTACTCAATAATTAGCCTAAAGCATAAAAGCCTAAAATCTCTAAATTTTGATTAACATGAAACAAACATTAAACATACTGTAAGAAGTAAAGCAACATTTAAGCAAAACCAGTATTAGATATACTTAATGATTAGTAGTATTCTTTCAGATCAATTGATCAATTTTATCTAAAATACATTTTTTCACGATATAGAAGCACCAAGAATTTGGGCCTTTTATTTTCGTTCTTGATCGAAGAAAACTACCTTTAAACTTTTCAGAGGGCCAAATGCCTTTTCATTCTTTACAATTGAAATGATGATTTGAGAACAAACTTGTGCATATGCCTGATTCGAAAGATGAAATACTCTTCTTTGATCAAATACTTCTACTGCAGTTTTTGCAATGTGTTCTTGCTCCACAGCAGTTTTGTCATAGGAATTTATGATAAGGACTCAAGGACATTAACAAATAACAGGGGGAGTTTAGCATAAACTCGTTTTTTATAAGAAGCGTTGAGAATTTTTAGTACTGAAAGATTCTTAATCTTTTATTGAATTAACTACTCGTAGTTTCTAAAAAAATTCCCACTCTAATATTTTCTGATCAATGCGGGTAATATTATTCAAAACTGTAAGTTTCAGGTTTCTTATCCGTAAGTTCACCTTGCCTGTTCGTAATTTGATTCAACTCCCGTCAGAAAGAAAGAAAAAGAAAACGGGGCAAGTGTGCAATTTGGACCCAGCGGAGACGGGATTCACAATAGAAAACGATTGGATGGGTCAGCTTCAGCCTGTGAATTTTAATGTTTAGAATTTTTATAAATTAAAATAAAAAAACTTCTTAAAATATAAAATTCACAAGTTTGGTCTTAAGAAAAAAATTCCAAGTCAACCGTTACGTTTTCCAACTGTAACTGGATTTTCCAAACTTTGGGGGGGCGTCACGCCCCCCACGCCCCCCTATTATTTACGTGCCTGCGTCCAGGATTGTGCCGATTGCCCCCCCCCCCAATGTCGCAAAACTCCAAGAAAGTTGGTTATGCAGCGGGGACCTTAGCTTTAAGCCCCGGCAAAACGACTGGACATTTGCGCTGGTCACACACTGGACATTGCTCACTTGTTTAGAGTATGAACATCAAAAAAATATTGGTGGTGGCAAAACGACTGAACATTGTCCAGTGAACTTTTTCCCTGTTGAAGAATGCGGGTGGGAAAACTGGCAACAGGGCATCTCTTTACCTTTGAAAATACACTTTTCATAGCCCTAAGCGTGTTATCGTATGAATTAGAGTGTATTATTGACAAGTGGCTAGGACAGCTAGGTTTATCAAAATCACCGTACTCCTGCTCTCTGACATCGCTTTCCTTATCGGAACTAAAGCTAATCTGATCGGAAGACTCGTCGTTATTAATAAAATGCCTTTTCTGCTATTGGTCGAATTGAATTTTCACGTTGTTTCCATTTCGTTCGCGGTGTTGACTAGGAAAGTTTGTTAAAGATTTGAATAATGGAAATAAATTCGCGCCAAATCCTATCCATTACATTCATTGCGCCTGCGCGAACTGGACAATGTTCAGTAGAGTGGCAAAACGACTGAACATTTCTCTACAACATCTGCGAACAAAAGAATTTTAATCCTGTCCACTGAACATTTTTGACTACCTTCAAAATCGACTGAACAACACTCAACATCGCTGAACAAGACTGGACAAGGTGGCAAAACGACGCAACATTTACGCTGGACATTTGTCCACTCCATGTTCAGTGAAAATGTCCAGTCGTTTTGCCGGGGCTTAAAAGTCAACTCGCAATTTATTTATTTTGTTGGTCATGGTTGGTCATACTCAACTTTCTTTTTGGTAATATTGCAAACAATTTGCCATAACTAATGGCTATAAGATGCAGTCGGTTGAAAGTTTCAGACTCTTAATTTGCTATTGCGCAGGGCCAGCGAAACCGGGGGGGGGGCGAGGGCCATTGCCCCCACTTTTCTGCAAAGCAAAATAGACAGTTTTAGGAAAGGGGGAAAGAAATGTAGCCTACCATCTGCAAGAAACTTTGCCTAGTATTCCCTTAAAAAGGCTCTTACCTTTAGCTTGGTTACTATGTTCTAATCATAGAAGACATATATAAAATTGAACATTAGAATTTTATCGAAGAAATCGGTCGTTGTCTAAGTGGTACCACGATTTTTTGATTTTTTTCATATTCAAGTAGCCGAACTTCCAAAGCATACTATGATGCCAAATTCGAAACAAACAGAAATTTTAAAAGTGGGAAAAATCTCATGTAATAGAAGGTTTCCATAATTTCTTTATCAGAACTTTTAAGCCGCATTTACACAAGCAAGTTTTCATTGACAATTTTTCTTTGGGAAGGTAATTTTGCTCGTGTAGATTGGGGTGTATTGAGGAAAAATGAAAATTTTTTACTTGATTAATGTACTTGTTTAAAAGCTGGCGTGCCAGTTTTTCTTTGCTTTTAGATACTCTGCAAAACCGTGAAAGCCTTTGGAATACAAAGGCAAAAAGTTGTAAAGTTGCAACATCAAGAAGAATGAGTATGCCCAGTATGAGTATGGGTATACAGATATTAAAGGAAGAAATTCCAGAGATTTCCCACTCACGAGTAAAAGTATCTTCTTCGTTAAAGAAGCTATTTCTTACAAGAAAATTCGACGCAAAAAACGTGCCGCGTCACAAAAACCGAGGCTAACCTATGAACTCCGCTGGCCAAAACGATTGTCAGAGCAAATAGATATTGTGAACGAGACTTGTTGTCTTCCTACACGAGCTACTAAGAATTGTCAAGTAAACAAATGTCAAACAAAACTGGTTGCTAATCTATAAAGGCAAGGAAACTTGTAAAGGAAAATTACCAAGAAAAAATTGCTCGTGTAGATGCGGCTTTAGTTAAGGCCTAGAAATCTCTTGACCTGTTAAGCCGACTATCGTTGTTTTGCGGTTGTGGCCGCATGTCTCATTTACAATATCGCATTGCACATCCGCGTTTCCAATGTACGGCCGTATTTATTTAAACAGGCTTATTGATCTTAACGCTTCAAGTGACTTGAACCGGATTACACTGTGGTTTACGGGTGTACCTTGCAAGTGCGATCAGTAGAGTCCTGTTTTCTCCGGACTTACAATTCCTCTACATACAAGTACGAATGGCTCAAAACTTTGCACACGGCCAGGGCAGATGTTGAGTGAGCAAATTGTGTCGCAAAACTTTTGTGTTTGCTCTGGTCCGTCTTTTATAGCCAAATACAGCTACGAGAGGGAAGAAAAATTGTTTGCCAACTTTTGACAGGGTAAAGTTTAAAGGGGAGGAGGAATTTGAAAAATCTGAGACACTCTTTGGTAGCTAAGAATCTGCGTTTTTTGCTGATAGAAGTCAGATTTTGTTGCCTCAAACACAAGGGTACCAAATAGCTTTTGAAGGTGGTACTCTCATTTAAGCAATAAATTTGCCTGGAAATTATCATTTTACAATCTTTGCCAATTAATTTGATATAAGAATATCAAGTTGTTATTTCACAAAAGGACAAGTTGCAGAACAATAAACCGAGCTAAATGACAATACAGCATTCATGGTTGCAAGTTTTCTTTCGGGAAATTTCTAAAATTGATTGGAGAGGTTTTAGATGAAATTTGTCTTCTAGGTTCGAATGCATTTTGCAACCCTGATAACATTGAGCCCCCCCTCCCCGCTCTCCACTAAAAATTAGCCTAAATGAAAAGACTTTTGGCTCCGTTTAATAACTTTATTCTCCCTTTAATTCCAGTCGTGTGTTTATCTCTACCCAAAAATGATACAAGTAGCAGTTTCGACACGACCAAAATTTAAATATTCACTAGATACAAACCAAAAAATGAATATTTAATTGCTAGAAATTTAATTATAAAAACTGTCCTAAAATCAATTGAATTCTGGTGTCTGTCACCTGAATTCATAACTTTCAATACAGAAATTTGGTGTTCTAGAATTTCACTAAAAGTATGGCCTTTAATTACCTTTCAGAAATTAATGAAGCCAAGAAGCGTAATAAAATTTTGTTTAAACTAAGCTCTTTTATTAAATCTAGCATACTATCACAGACGATTCGAGCACATATGGCACCATGAAGACAGTCATGTAAACACAAATGGATACTTAATATGGCTTTACACTTCGCATATCAAAGCTGGATTAAGCAGTAGATTGGACTGTAAACACAAGATTCCTGGTATTAAATCATGGGACTTGAATTTTATGATTTTTCTTTTGCTGCATCGTTTTTTCACAAATTGGCATTACTCTTTACTGCCGTTCATGTAATTTTTCGTGTTTTTAATGCTTCATTCATGCAAGTATTTTTCACAAAAGTGATCTTTTTGAAGATTTTATTTGCTTATATGTTACACAAGTTGTAAAAATGTTGGAGAAACTCCTCCCCCTTTAAATAAATTCCCGATTTGTTCTATGGTCCATTAATAGATAATAGGTTATAATGAGAAAGGCTGCCCTTGAATTGAATATGCCAAAGTTCTCTTTACTTTGTGTCGTTCTATTCTAGGTGAAATCGTAGCAGCATTAATACAAATAAGTCAAAGATCATTTCGTATCTTACTCACAGTTTACCCCCAGTGCACCAAAGCCTGAAGAGACAAACTTTTCCGAAAATATCAAAGCTGCTGACTCTAAACTCTGATTATACACAGAAGCACTCATTTTACTAATGTATGTCCATTATTGTCGAACGGAGTTCTTTGAAGACCATATAACGAAACTTTTGCTTTTAAATGTGACCTTAAAGGCAGTCTGTCCCCTATTATGCTCAACTTTATTTTCACGGGAGTGAAATTCACTCACCGTTGAACTTGATCGATAATTAAACGATTTAAACCAATCAGAGACAACTTTGATTCCAGAGCTTTTGAATCAAATGGCTGTGTTACCATTGCAGTGAAGCTGTGGCTAGAAAAGTATGGCTCCCTGTTTGGTTTGTGCGACAGATATGTCAACAGTGAAAGGAAATGCTTCCATTATCATCATTTTATTCCAGTAATTAAATCTTCTTACCATTACCGATAGCTTTTTGCTCGCAGTTTCAAATATCGTCCACTATCGCAGCTAGGCCAGCCAAAGCAAGCATCGTAATCCGTTGAGGCGGGAAGACATATTAGCCAATCGTTGAGGAGACAGACTGCCTTTAAGTCATGTAAACGTTGAAAAATTGAACGAAATGTATATAATCTACTCAATATTATTGTTTTATAATATCATACAGCATATGTCGAAAACATTGTCAACTACTTAAACCTAACATATATTTACACTTTCATTTGTTATATATCTTAATAAACGAAAACTTTATATCTTTACATGGCTTGTCTATTTACAACAAGCAACAATCTTGGATAATAGTGTCGAGGTTTTGCAATTTTCTCTCCATTTCTAACGTGGCGTCTTTGCTGTTTTTATATAAACGTTCAAATTTTGCATGTTTAGAGAGATTTAGACCTTGCAATGTACGCTAGTGCTACTTATAATATTTTTTAGGGTTGTCTCAACAGAATTATCCAGGATTGTGGACTTGTATGACTGTAAAGTTCACGTTATTTCTGAAACTTTATACAGTTCAAACTTTGAGTGTTTTGAATCCGAATGTTATTTCTGAAACCTTATGCAGTTCAAACTCGGAGTGCTTTAAAACGAACCTTTTTTCTAGAATCAATAGACATTATATGTTTCATTAACACCGAATAGAATATTTTTTATACATAGATAATAGAAATTATATCGAACAGAATAATAAAGAAAATGAATGCATTATTTTCTTGGTACCCTAGATTCTGAATGTATTATGATGGTTTGTATATTCTTTTCCCTTGTGAACTTTTTCAATTTTTAAATGCAGTACGCCAAAGCATTTTTACCGTCGTCAAGGATAGAACAAATGAGCTGTATTGCAGCCCTCATTAAATTTCAAAAATGAATTACAGTCTCTTTTTCTCATTAACCTGTTTTGTTTTCGTGGTTTGATTTTTATCATTAAAGTTGGAAGTTCAAAGCAATGTATCAGTAATATAACAGCAACATTTGACAGCAGATGTATTGAAAAGAGGCCACAGTATCTCAGATCTGTTTTTTTCACTAATTACATAACCGTATTGCAACTATGTCTAGTTCCGTTGAAATTTATCTTAGAGCATATAAATATATAACTATTGGAATTTATCACCCTCCTTACGAAAATGTAATTTTATTTCTTGATAAATTAAGCAAGTTATTGGAGTTTCATTCACAAAGCTATGAAGGAATGCCAATACTTGAGGACTTAATTATGTAGCCTGGTTCTTCTCGCGGAGAAAACTTTATGGAAGACTGTGATCTATATAATACAGTAAAGAAGCAAGCATGCTACAAAAGAAACCCACCAAAATGTTTAGACTTGATCCTAACAGATAAGAAACACAGCTACATAAACACGGGTACATATCAGAAAGGTTTGTTCGATCACCGTGAACTAGTCTATACTGTACTGAAAACTGAATTTTTCAATTATAAACCAAATTCTATTTTATACAGAAAAGCTTTTCCGTCAATATATTTAGCGAGGATCTTCAATCTAATTTTGCTAAAATATCTTAATGCAATGCATTCTACGACGTTTCAAGTCAAACGCTTATTTCTGTTTTCGATAACCATACCTTTGCGATACAAAAAATTGTGAGAACAAATAATGCGTCATTCATAAATGATATATCAAAAAATTGTTAATGCTGGGAACGAAAGCGAAAAAAGAGTTCAAAAAATAAAACAGTCTCTAACAGGGAGGTTAAAAAATGTAAAAAACAAATGCATCAAATTTATTAGAAGCACGTAAAGAAATATTTAAAAAAAATATAAAAACGTCTGAAAATCTATCTAGCCATTATCAAATGAGAAAAATGTAAAGCAAAATAAAGATATACTTATAGAAGAGTATGAAATTCTCTCTGACATAATTGTAGTAGAACAAACGTTGAACAGTCCATTTGTCAATTATACAAAAGCCTCAATATAACCCAACCATTATCTGACAATATGCAACAAACTTCTGATGTAAGTACAGCCTCATTACTACAAGATCATTTAAAATGTTTTATAACCATCCTATCATCGTAAAAATCAAGGAAATGTTGGATTAATTTTCTAAGTTTAACTTTTGAATTATAATTTCCAAAGGTGTAAGACAGATAATTTATAACCTAGACTAAAACAAGACAACAGGGACCGATGTTATTCCGTCAAAAGTTCTTAGAATAACAATAGACAATGTCTCTGAGCTATTAGCTGAAACATTTAATTGCTCTCTTTCTAATAAAATGTTTCTTTTTTTTATGAAAATGACTAATGTGTCCTTAATTCAAAAAAAAAATACAACCAGCAAGAGAATTTTAGGCCAATAAATGTGCTCCCCTCATCAGGTTCAAGGATATTTGAGAGTATTATGTTTAATCGAATTTACAATTACATCAATCTAAAACTGTTCCTTCTACATTGTGGATTCATAAAAGGTTATAGCACACAACACACTTTATCGTGGCTAATTAAAGGCCTGACAAAGTGTTTTGATGAAAAAGATGTTTATGGACTTATCAAACGCATTTGTTGTTTCTCTCTTAAAATTCTACTATCCAAAGTAAAATCTTGTTGCTTTTGTGACAACGCAATGGTAATTATGTATAGATATCTAGATAAAGAACACAACGATTAAAAATTATTTCCGATTTTTCGTGAATGGATGAAAACAAAGCAGGGAGTTCTTCAAAGATTAATCTTAGCTTCGTTTCTTTTCAACATTTACATTAATGATGTCATCCTTTCACTTGAACAAAGGAAAAACCGAAACCGATGCAGACGACAGTACAATTTGGCTGCCAAGTACTGATATCAATGAACTAACTATTGACCTAGATTTAATACTTTGTCATATAGATGTAGCCAAACATGGACCGCAATTCCTAACCAAAAAATATCATCTCAAGCATTTGAAGATAAAAATCTCGAAATTTTCATTTTAAAATTGTATTTGTGACCTTTCCCAGGAATATATATGCAAAATCTACTATGAATGATTGTTTTTCTTGCAATTGCTACTTAGCCTTTTGGATTTTATATAGTCAGTAATGAGTTTGTACTGTTAAATACATATGGTTTTATGATGCAGCCCTCTTATTTCTTGGTTTTTTCAATGAAAACATCCGAAATGGACAAATATGTCCTTATGATCCCGAAAGCATTAAATAAACTATACAATACAACACTATCCCCGTTTATCAAGATCTTATACTGATTTTCGTTATCATGACATTGTGAAACGTTTATCTTGGAAAACATGACAGCGCTGGAAGAAAAAACCAAAAACTACATGACCGTAAACCAATAATGCTTCAAGTGATCCAAGCCAGTAGTCGTGAATTGTTCAAAGAGGTTTCATCAAACTAGAATTATTTTAGAATTGAAATGCTGAAGGTTAGATTTGTTTGGATTAGAAATCAATCGCACGTTCCAGGAACCTTTGCATTTACTCAAGACACCTGTGATCTTAGCTATCTGACAACGTGAACTTAGCTATTTGAATAGCAAATAGAGGATGCCATAGCGTTCTGCCACACATTGTGCATTTTGCTACGTGTTTAAAGACAAATTGTTGTAGCAGTTCAACTCAAGAAGGTTTGACAAAGTTAAAGAGAGTGAGAGAGACAGTCAAAAGAAAAGTCGAAATATTATCTTCAAACGTGATAAGGTAAGTCTGGGATTTTTCTATGAAAGATGTTTACAAAGAAGCGATAGGTTGTAATGTTCAATCTTGAAGGGCATCGATAGTACGAGAAACAGAGTATAAAGGAAAGTTAGCTCAATTTTGTTGAATCATTATTCAGCTTTTCAGTTCCTTATCAGTATATCAGTCATGATAAAAATAATTAATCACAATGTACTTAACTAGCTAAATTTTCGCTATCACTAGGAAAATTATCGTTATGGTTGGCTATTGAACGACGGATATCTGATCACAGAACCGTATAATTTTTTCGGAAGCTTATTGGCATCTTATTTCAAACCATTCTTAGATTTACTTCTGTTTGTTTCATATGTTTTTCAATTTTTCAAGCATTCTCTGCTACTTTCATCTTTCTGAAGGCATCCTGTACAGTAGTTATCTTATATTGCCAATAATCAAATACTTTCTCTCTGTAAATACAACAGATTGCGCGCGGTACAATATAATGCTATATTAACGATAAATGTAAGTAAATTGTACCAGGAAAAAAAATTCTTTAAATGAATAACAAATATTAATATTATTGTTTACTTTCTCTCTATGTTTTGTCAAAAATATGACAGAATAAATACTTATAGATCCAGATTTTGCATTTCATTTGTTGGTACCGAGCATGATGCTCAGAGCATTCGAAAGAAGTTTTAGGACAAAAGTCCTCCTTCTCCTTGTGACCTCGAGATTCCTCCACCTTTAATTACTATGAGGTAACTACTTCCCTCAATCTAAGTGGTAGTTTGGTCACGGCAGGGACTCGAACAGCAGACACTTGGATCTAGGCTGCAACCTCAACAACTGAGCCATCCTTGCACCTAGACCTTTGTGATTTCCCTCTTGTAGTTTCCTGTCATTGGCTTTAACTTAAGAAGAGACATAATAAAAATATATTTCATAGAGAGACGACTCCACTGTCTCGGACCTTTTAATTTCTCTACTGTTTTCATATTAATTAGATAAGCTTTTTCATATTGAAATCTACTAAGGCTTTAATTAACTTTGGAAAGATGTACAGTAGATGATATCGTTTTCTGACTGGCCGTCTGCTTAAGGCTGTAAGCAAACAGAACTTCCAATTTTGAAGTCTGGATGTTAAAGTTTTGCAATTTTAATTCTTACTAAATCATGTTTGCTGAAAAACAACGTTAAACTCCAATAAAAATATGTGAAATCAAACACTGGGATGGCTCTTTTATCATATCCTTAATAAAGATTTAATAAAGCCAGTAAAAAAACAAACTAAGATAGGTCACTCTTATTGCAGCTGTTTATGCAAAAGTCCAAATATTGTGAGCGAAAACTCTAATTTCATTTCCAATATAAGCTCTTATTTCAACCAGTAAACAAATAACAGGGATGTAGTGCTATCAAGTTGAATAAGTTCTAGCTAAAAATTAACTCCGCGGTCATATTGTCGAATGTTCTCCTTGCAATACAGATATTTCATAGCTAGCATGAAGATGGGATTTCGGAAAATATATACTTCACAGTGACCAAATTTGCCTAGAAGGGAGTCTTGTTCTTTCATTGTCACTACACCAAGGCCTGTTTAAGCTTCAAAGAGGGGGAAAGGGGGTGGGCGAAATGTTAGTGTAATCTTGCTTCCAAGACACTTACATCCTGTATTTATTCAAAACAAAAATAAACAGGCTTGATATTTTCCTCCCTCTCTCTCTTCCTAATTCTTCCTCCTTCGTAATTTCTCATTCAACCTTCCTTGCAAGGCCTTAGCTACAGGCATCTGTGTTTTTCCTTAACATTATCAACTAAAAAAAGAAAAAATAATTTTTCAAATAGTTTAGTGTTTTTACATCTTGTGACCGAGAACCCTTTTCATGCTAGTATTTTATCGGCTATTTTAACTACTACGCATGCAACACCAATCTATTTGAACACTCTACTGCCAAAAAATTCAAGGGAGATTCAAAGAATGACACAACTATGAAAGGTAAAAGACATGATTAAGAGCCTCTGTCAGCTGACAATGCTCTGTCCAAAACATCGTGAAACAATACACCTATTTGGGGTGCATTGTAATTGTTAGTTGATTAAAGTAGTGACCCCTGATTCATAACCTATAGACTATACAGTATATGATACATAGAGACTACTTTAAGGGATGATTTTTAGCCCAGATTCTTAATAACATTATCGAATATAGAGCCTTATCAATTCCAGTCCTTTTCTCTATACCCATTTTTGTAAATGATTGTTTTTATAAGCGGGTTGGGCCTAGATTCTAATAAAGTTGAGCCTTCATCCCAATATTGAGACATTCTTCAATGAAATCTTTTGTAGAACCCAAGAAGGCGTGACAAGAAAAACGGACCCAACCTCAATTGATAAGGCATGGGTTAGTCTTTTTCAAATTATATTTTACAGTAATCCCTCTGTGACAATCTTTGTAGGGACCAAAAAATATATATAATTAAGGGAGCTAGATTTACGGGGAAATTGTTGCTTTAAATTTTAGCCAGCACAAAGGAAAAACCGTGAATGTTTTCGCTAGTAAATTATTCACAATTAAATATAACAAAAAATTTTGATACAAATAATCAAATTTATATCAAGAAAAAATAAGTAGCACATGGCTGTCCTTTTCTGCTAAAAGCTTTGTCAAATGATCTCGAAAGATAATATATATGTAAAGTATTTCACCCCCCTCCCCCATTTCAGCCCAAGAGACTGCGTATTTGAAGCATATCAAGTCTTTTTTGGGATGACGGTCGATTATTTTTGATGATGTTCAAAATACAGGGCGTGTATCAAATGCTCTCAATATTTAGTTCATTCTATATATAGAAAACGAACAAAGGGACAGTGTACGAAGACCCTGTTCACAAGTTCGAGGTTATTTTAGCACCTGTTAATATCACTAAACGTCATTTCAAAAGCCCCCATTCAAAGTAAGTATCAGGTGCTTTCGGGTCATTTTACATCGATGATTCTATCTTTTCAAAAGTGCTATTCAAATTGATATGATCGAAAAGGAAAGTCTTTTTGATAAATATAAAGAAATAAAATTCTAAACTGTGACAGCAAGTAAAACGATTTCAAATTAAAGAAATTTGCGATATCTTGATAATACTGTCATGTTTTATCACTAATCGTGTACTCCAAGGAACAAAGCAAAACATGATTCAATGTTAGATAACTGATGTAAACATTAGCAGGACTTTTCTATGAAATGGATCTATGTGTTGGGGCCCAGACCCTCTTTAGTATCTTCGTAAGACCCCACACAGTTATTATTATTCCATTCAGTAGTGTAATACGTGTCGATGTACACGGCATTGTGTAGTGTTGTAATTTGAATGTTGATTTAATGTTTGATTTAAAACAGTACTAGCTTACATGTTTTGATTCTCCATACCCAATAAATACATACACATAGTAAATGTCAATCTACAAGTAACAGCGATCATGATTATGTATGTAGTAACATGAAATTAGTTGAGGAGCTGGTTGGAGTTAGAGTTGAAGTAAGGATTGTGATCGGCAAATATGTAAAATAAAACATATATGGATTTGATACTAAGTTTATACAAAATTGTGACTTATCTTGAATCTGCATCTTACACTTCGTCCATCATTAAATTTTAAGATAGGGGCACCGCTAAAAATGGTCCATGAGTAGAATTGTATCCGCCTAATTGTATGTATGATTCTAACTTATCATTCTGCCTTCGTTGATTACAACAACACGATTTGAATTCTGAAATTTGAAGCATTGCACTAATTAGCAAGAAAAGAGAAGTCAGATATAAACAAAATTATATTTCAATATGAGTCAATTATAAAAGATAATGCTAGCATGCGAGTATTTAAAACTTGTTATTACTTAAATATGGGAGGTTTAGCATATGGCAATTGGTAATTGGAAATTGGCAATGCGAATTGCAAAGCAATATTTTCATTACGGTAATGTAATCCTAATTGATGCTAAAGTTTCAGTTGGTTTAATGCAGAAACTGTATTTTAGAAAATGATTAGGTGTGAATAGCGTCTTGTAAGTTCAACCATTTCTGTTAACGAATCAATAAATTTGTAGAAGATGTGCCCTAGGTGTCTTTTTGTTTTTAGGCAGTACTTATGATTCACCAAAATTAGACGAATTATAAAAAATTCAAGCCAATTGCTCGTTATGTATCTAAAAAATTTATTTGTTAATTTCTGCGTGAAATGACACAGCAGTCTAACGACACAGCTGCATTAAGTTCCATAATTAAAGAAAGAGACAATAAATTTTCCATCATTGAGCATCTTTGAAATTGAAAAATAAAAGTAAACCGTTACTATAGATAATTTTGTTTGGTATTATTGAGTCATAATAAACAGTTTTGTAATGTAGAAATTCATAAAAAGCCTTCGTATAAGAACGTGGATTCCTTAGCCAATGAGACTCACTACTAAGTTAAAATATCCCTTCCCAATTCGAAATCAAATTTTCGATCCAATAATAAAATTAAAATAAATCAAATGCGATAAGCAAATATTTAAAAATGTTCTTAACGTTGAAAACATGGTGGTCTAATCAATTAACGATCTTAGGGCCTACGACGAAGGGGGACTCGGGGTGTCATACCCCAACCCACATTTGCAAAGCAATATAGTTTATTCAAAATGTATTCTTATGGGTGTTAAATTTTCCCTTGTCCCCCTCCCCCCACTTTCCAACCTTTGTCGGAGCTCATGGAACTTCAAACATAATATCGGGCCATGATTTCTATTTTATCTTGCAGGGAAATCTAAGTTGACAATAATGAGGATTTTCTTACTGATCATAACTGTGCTACCTCTTAATTCATCGTCAATGGAAGAAAGCAAATTTGGTGCAGTTTTTGAAGAAATTCACAATCCACAAAGAAAAATGACGAGCATGATTGACAAGTCATTTCATAAATGCAGTATTGACGCAGCCTGCAATTATGTGGCAAAAAATATACAAACAAATAGGTTTGACAGATACAAACTTAATCAAGACATTGGCAATGAAAGAACAAATCTCATTATTTGGGCTAAACAAGAAAGATACAAAAGTAAGCATTATTTCTCCTTTCAGCATTTATGGTGAATACAGCGCTAAATGACACAAACCTGTTAATATGATATATCTTGCTGCCTTATTTTTGTCTTTGCAAGGCCCAAGATAAGTTTTTTGGACAAAATATCCATATTCTTGTTTGAGGAACATAAAATAAAATTCATTTTTTGCCCGAGAAGTTTACTTTCTATTAATGGCTACGGGCACTGGTTCATTGAATCTCAAACTTTATTTGCCAACAAGGGGTTTATATATTTATTTGAAGAATTAAAATATACATCAAAGTGCATCCAATAAACACAGAAACGGAAACAAAAGCACAAATTAAGGTACATTTCCAAATTTTCCGACGCTATGTGATCAAAAAAGCCTACTTCTTCCTTTGAAATCTGGTCACAGAATAAGAATAATAATTTGAAATTTGTTCTTACTCTGTGATCTGGTACAATATCATGAAACTTCTCAAAGAAGCTCAGAGTAGGTTTTTTGAATTATGCATAGGCAGTTTTTTTGTTACTGTATATTTATATAAATTACGGAAATTTTTCAGCCTCTACTGTGAATATTGCCCTAAAGAAGCCTTCGTTTCAATCTTCAAAATGGGAAAGTACTAATTTCTTTTTCGCAAGATTTGCAAATGATGGCATTGCTGAAACATACTCGTGTACAACAGCTGAAATTAACCCTTGGTGGCAAGTTGTCTTAGGTAGAAGAGCTGCAGTGAAAACTGTTAGGGTGCTACCGATGCATCCCCCTGTTGGCCTTGGTGTGACTGTCGGCGACCAGTATCTAAACAATGGCCTCGGCAACAAGCAATGTCATTTGGAAGCAGATAGTGACTTTCACGTCTTCAGGTGCTCAGGAGCAATTGGAAGATATGTGACAGTGTTTGCAAAAACCATGTCAAAGGAATACCTTGCAATCAATGAAGTTGAGGTTTACGAGGGTGAGTGCAGCAATGTATCATTATGATATTTCAGATAAAGCCCCACGAATCCATATACCATGTTTTACGGCCAAAGACTTTTTAGCCATACGACATAGAAGATAATTCACAATATACTATTCATATATTGACATATGCTTCTCCAGAGTCAATATTATAAACTCGTTAAAATCTGAAATAGACGATTCTCCATAGACGATTTTGTTATAAAGAACTTCAATAAAGCCATTGTACTGATTATTAAAATTTTGCAGATCTCTCAATATACTGACCAATAATATCATCATGGATACTGGCAAGATCCATAGAAAGATTACACTTGGTTGAAAAAAGGATGATGAAGTTCAACTGGACACACGAGCTTGCTTGAACACTTCATGATAAAATTCAAATTTGAAAATATTTATAATTCAAAAATTTATGATAAGTCCGACAAATCTTTGATGATTTAATAATTATTGATGTAATTATTTATCCCCCATAAAACGAAAAAGCAGTTGTTTGTATCGTTGCCTCGCATTTTCTTGGTAGGTTACGAATTCTAGATGTAGGAATACATTGTACATATACTCTATGTAATTTTTACTGCATATCAGTTTCAATTATTAACGAAAAATTAGATAGATATAAGCTCAAATTCTAAGGATTCTGGTTTATTCAAAAGACTTTCATCTTATTTAGAACAGTCCATGGCACTAGAAACTGTAAACCAAAGGTTTTGTAATGCTTATCCAAAGTAGGATTGTTATGATGGATTTCAAACCATTTAGAATTATTAACGAGAACATATTGACAATATTAAAGCATATTGTGGGGGATTAGATTAATTGCCTTCGCCATCAGAGCATTTTTTCAAATTTAGTTTGACTCTAAAAATTTGACTGCCCATCTCCCTTAGTATTTTAGTCATTTTAGTATTAAACACTTGTGCGATTAAACACTCTTTTGATTTGGAAAAAAGCAAATGAAAAGAAGTGTACCCAAACATCAGGAATGTGGAACATCGCAATTGATTAAATTTACATCGAAACGCATATTGTTGATTATACTGAATTTATGTCGCTCTCATCGTTAAAGCTTGCCTGCAATGATTACACAAGATCTGGTTGGCCATACTTTTTCAATGAATGTCAATGAATAGTGCGATTCAACCTTTAAAAAACGCTTTTGAAATAAACGAAATCATTCCAAAACCAACTTGATTACGTTCAAATTATTGCCCTCGTAATGTTCAAAGTTATGGTGCAAGTTTGGAAAACATTTGTGAAGCAATTAGGCGCCATAGTTTTTTGAAAACCAATTACACAAAACTATGAAATATTGGCAACACTTTTAAATAATAAATTTGAAAAAATTACTTTTCAAATGACCAGATAAGTTAATGATAAGTTAATTTTAACTGGTCTCGATTGCTTGAAACATTTCGAAGCTTTCTAAGATTCAATCGAAAATTTTTGTAGCAGGTTATGTTAATTGTGACACGATACATTTAAAGCTTTATTTCCAAGATTACATCTATGTCTTGGAGAACCAGTAAAATCATTATTGGCTTTGGAGTTTAAGGAAAGTAGCATATTTCCGGTTATTTTTTATAACAACCCTTTTTCTTTAAATGCCATTTAGGCTTTTTAATGTTGCGGTTTTCCGCAGAAATTCTTTCTTTTAAGGAGGGGACAAGTTTTTGTCTTGGACAATTTTCAGTTTTATTTTGTCTTTTAATTGCTATAGATTAGAAAGATGGACTCGATGTTCTGTGGCAAAGTGTATCAATTGAATTCTGTTGCGACATGCCACGAAGTTGCCTAAGCCACTAGGCCCGTTGCGGCAAATAATGTCCTTGCAATGCTTTTAACCCTCTCTCTTATAGCAATGATACAAATTTACAATTCTAGACATCCAAGCACAAATAAAGTTTCTCTGACCTCATCTTAACAAGATTTCACAAGCTTGCAGAAATAAAACCTCTTCATTGCAAATATAAAACAGGGACTCCTATCAACAAAGCTCAGTTTTCGTGTTTTTGCAATGGTCAAACTATTAACAAATAGGAAAAAATTCAGAATGCATTTGAAATTTAATCTTCATTACTATACCTCGATTAATTTTCTATAATTTTCCACCCAAATAATCAGCCTGAAACATTTTCATACCTTTTGAAAATATTTGAATATAAGTCAGTCAAAATATTTTGTAGATGTATCTGCATCGTGTTGTGCAGTAAAGTGCATTTATTAAGTTGGATAAGCAATCATTTCGAAATTTCAGCAGTTATCTACTCATAGAGTTGAAAAATTCTAGATTCATGTCAGTTTCATTTATTCAATGGTGCTTTTTACATGAAATTTCTTTCAATTTAATGAAAGCAAAAATGATTTCTTATTCTGATTCAGATCTCGATTTCTGATATGGAAATACTAGTTCAATATCTCAATATATTTATGTCAAAATTAATCAAAAAACATCATCTTGCCATTGAATGTACACACCTTCTTTGGAATTCAATGTAATTTTCTTTTCAAATAATTTTTTAACCTTGCAAAACCATCTCTAGCCAATTTTCTTACAATTCGTCGATATTTATTGACAAAAATTTACAATATTTAACAAACACTGATATTACCAGTGGAAGTGCTTTGACACATGTTTCGAATCGTTAAATCACCTCCGCTAAATAACAATGTTATAAAATGCAAACAAATACGACATGATCAAACATGTCATGATAAAAATGCTTCTACTATGTTGGATTCGTTTTGGGATGGATAGGGAAACGAAAAAAAATAGTAAAATATGGACAAAATGTAGACAAATACTGAATACAACTTGGAAATCATGAAAATATTTTAGATACTTTACACATACAACAGTTCAAATTTACGATCGTTTTAAAACGCTGTATGCGGCCTGCTGCGTGTGCTGAAAATGGCTGAAACAAAATTCATGAACGCCAGGTTTCTGAATATTCCAAAATGTTATTTAAGAAATGTTATGTTATCAAACAGCCGCAATTGAAAAGCTGAAGTTAGATCAAAAGTGTTAATTACGATTATCACATTGATCATGTAGCTCTTTTCAACTTTAGTTGTTATTGAGCGCTAGGCTCAAAAGAGCTCACAGTTCCTCTTGTGTAACAATTATCATCCTCCTAGGAAATTCCTTCTTGCCGAGAAAATTTAAAATAACGAATCAAAACACTTTTGTTCTGCTGCAGTTTCCTCTCGGCGGTCATATTTCTAATCGATGTAAAATGCCGCAAAATCGAAAAGAATTCGTTACCTCCCTCTTGATCTGAATAAGCAGACGACAGGACATTTCACATTCCATTTCTCGCATACCAAAGAAAAACGGGAAATCGCTAAGAATGTTTTTGCTATCAAAGTACCTCGCTTGTGTGAACACATAATATTGAGCCTCGTTTTTAACATATCATACGATATGAATATTTCTCTCCAATCTGCGACAACGTTTAGTTTACACAGCGTAGGAAGTAACCTTTGATGTTGCTAAAAGAGCAGGGGTCGCCGTTCACTTCTAAGAATGCGCTTTAATCCACCCAAGCCGTGCTAAATACCCTAGGTAAACAGGAGAGATCATTCTTGATAACCTATGCCTAGCCAAAGCTTGATTTGTATCCAACGGCTTTTGGCAAAAAGCCTTCCGAAAGAATATGGCAGAACCGATTTATGGTGGCCAATAAGCAAATGCCATGTTTGCTGTCTGTCACTTCCAATAGATTCCAAGTGTGTTTTCGGTTTGATTGATAAATTATCAGGAATCGTACAAGCTTCTTAGATTAGCTTCTGCGAATAGACATGTCCTGCAATTTTGAGCTTAGCAAGAAGCGCATTTGTTGGTTCCAGTTTTAGCTCTTGTGTACAAGTAGAACCGCACCTTTAGCCGTTTTCCGTGAAACTGACTTTTTCAATTATTCACTTCGCCGAGGAACCCGCAATCAAAGTAAAATCAACCAAAAGCAGCAAACTACAGCGCTTGAGAGAAGTAACACATCTTGGCAAAGGCTACCAAACTTCAAATAAATCTGATACTAGTCACTGATATAGTCTTTTAAATGCAGTCAGATGCACAAAATGATACACTACCGAACCGAATATAGTAGATATAATATATTTGAAAAGGAAGAAAACTACATACCTAGATAGGTGTGGAATATTTCGCGACTGTGCATAGCCTAGAAATTGAGCGGAAAATGTTAGAAAACGTCAGGATGGAAGTCAAAGGATTTCTTTTCATTTCAAATTGGCCGCAAGGTTATAATTGTTAGCATTAAATAAATCTAAAAGTAAACTATTTTCCTTGGCAACAACTAATTGAAACTCTATAATTAAAATGCGCTGTTAATGATGTATAACAAATGCCAGTAAAAATATTTTAAATGAGATGTCATTGTATGCTGCCAACGTACATGTTATAGATGAACCATTTCTTTCAACAGTAAGCCTCGTATTGATGATTTTTCTTGGTTTTGAACAAAGAGGCTAGTTTCTCGCTATTCTAAGATAATATTAGGACTACTTTCTATTCCATTTTGTTCTGTTTAGTCTGTTCTGTACTACACATCTTAATCTGGAGGGTTTTTGTGATTCGGCAGAGCTTTGTCAAGAAATGTTTTCTCATTTTGATCGAACTATCTTTTAAATAAAAACGAATGTCACTATAATCCTTGATTCGTAACTCTTTTGACACAATGAATTCATCTCTTTTTCAAAGCACTACACTCTCAATATTACACAATAATGTTGACAGTTGAAACTTTCAAAGCATACCCGAACTTTTCTTTTCATTTTTCTTTTACATTCCACATCATTTATATGGTTTTCTTTTCAACTTTTAGAAATCTAATGGTGAACTTTCTCGTTATCTAGAGAGGGTTCATTGCATTATTTTCTGGTCTTGTAAAAGAGTATTTAGAACCATTAAGACACTTTATCAAGCAAAATTTGTTATTTTAATAGTAATATCAGCTCGTATTTTTGCTAATTTAACCAAGCAATCTAAACCGTCGAATTCTTTCCAACCAATATAGCTACAAACTGGTCTCACTTATCAGCAATATGTTTTCTTTTTCATGCTTTCTGGAGATAGTTTCAATCAAAGCACTTTTCAATTAATTTAATTTTCTCAATGATATCAATCTTCACCTTAAATTACTAGTTCCTTTGGACAGCTGTCCCTTTGGACAGCACAGGACCATGTTGGTCTTTTCGGTTATTCGCCAAACAGTTTCACGTTGATATAAAGATTATAATGACTGAATAAAGGTCATATGGCAGCACAAGTTCTTCAATCTAGTATGTACTCTATTGTTAAATGCTAAAAAAACTGTGCAACAAAGCCATGGTTTTGCTCTTTATCAGGAATACACACATATTGATAAGAGACAGATAAAACATTTTTGGCAAAAATTAACCGTTTTTAAAATAGAAAATCCGCTTTTTTGTACAAAAAAGATATAATCCGAACTTCTATCAAAATTAGGGAACTAAGATAGTCGTTTGAATTGAGCGATTAAATCAAATAGTAATAGCTCTGCAGTGTTACCATTTTTACCTATCCAGCCGCAATTTTACTTTCTGATAAGCCTTGCAGTCCTTTACAATAAACACTCACTTTAAATCAACAGCGTTGATATCAAATTCAAACTCACGCAGTCCTTTTACTAGATATGGCTAGGAAGCTTTTCTACCTGTTACTTTGATAACATATGAGTAGAGTAGATTTACCATTAAAGCAGATAGGTAGATATGTTTAATCTTATAGAATGTAGATTTTTCTTAAAGAGAGTCTGCATCATTTTCTTTAAGTGTGAAATTTCGTAAATGAATGACCTTTACTCTTAGAGAAAAACTCAAACCAACAATTTTCTACCTTGATACTATTTCTTTCAAGACAATTTTTCTCCTGATGTAAGAAAGTAAATCCTTTTTCATTCATTTGGTAAAATTGCGTCTATTCTCCTTGATAGAAAAAGTAAGCGTTATTATGATTGGCCTCTCCGTGTCCTTGTGCCTACAACAATCCACAGGATACTGCAGACAAAATATGCTCCTGCAATCTTATTTACCAAGAGAAAACCTGAGAAAGTCGTCTTCAAAGTATTGAAATCCTGCAAGATATTATGTTATCTGTTTGATCACAGTTATAAGTTGGATTCAATAAAGCAGTAGTCTTCTTTCAGCAATATTTACCAATGTATTCATTTAAGTCCAATGGCTCAGGGGAAGATTAAAAACATTTTGTGTAACGAAATAAAAATTTTTGCAAGTGCTTTTGTTTGTAGAAGGGTCGGTCAATTTTCTCAAAAGTCATATGTTGTGAAAATGAAACAATGAAATTATAAATCTTGACTTTTCACTCATTCATTCAACTCGATGAAATTAATTTTATTTTTGACACAAGATTGGAAAATGACATAAAAGAAAGATTAGTCATGAAAAATTTGAATCAAAGATTGATAAATCGTGTTTGCATCCACTCGGTATAATTTATTAAAAATGCCAGCAGGATACTGACATGTGTACGAAATCGCCTATCGAAAGGACCTTGAACCCTTAGGTCTTAAATATCAAATTTACAGAGTGCCTCAAACAAAGAGTTAACTCACGAGCGCGAATAAAAAGTT